GTTCATCCACTGATGGACTAAGTCCTACTTCGATGAAGCTTTAGAGCTTTACTGTTTGATAGGTACAGGGTTATACTTCTATTGTTTCTGCACACACATACTCACATACAGACACTTGCACCCCCACCTCCACCCCGCTTTGAATACACTTACATTCATTTGGAAAGGGAGTAAGACAGGTGACAGCTTTAGGATCACTGCTATCAGTAAAGGATGTTATGCTCAATATTGAAGTCACAGACGCTTCTGCAGAAGTTTCTTTATTAAATACAAAAAGGGCTGCAGGCTGACCACAACACCAAAACAAGTCACTCTGTTTTACAAACTGCTAGAGACGTAGGACGGTGAAAGATCATACAAATGCCTCTGCTTTGCATTCCAGTTCTCCTCTCCATAATCTTGTAAATGAGTGGGATGCCAGGTGAGCAGCTGTGGAGGTAGGGGGCAGCCCTGGGGTACTGGGCGACAGGGGCAGTTATGACTGCTAGGATCTGGTGGTGTATCAACTTGGTAGCCAGAAAGCATTTTTTTCCTGAGCCCTTCCCTTCTTGAACTGTATGAATGCAGGATAAGTCTCAGGTGTTCTGGAAAATAAACACAGAAAAAAACAACCCCCACCCCAAAATCCACAAAACAAAATCAAAAGAAACTGCATCATTCCCCTGTCTTCCTTCCTAAACAGAAAGGTCTCTCAGAGGTGAGCCACTTTATTCCCTCCTCGTACATCAATTTAAAGTCCCTGTTCATGTAGGTCTTCTCTGTGTTCCTTTCCTGGACCTGAAATTTGCAAGTCTTTCCACCACTGTGGATCTAGTCCACCTGCCCCATCGCTATTCTGGGTTGTCCAGACTGCTGTAGTGGTTACTGAAATGAAAAACAACACAATTGAAAGAGTTAACAATGGCAGCCCACAGAGCCCTTTAAGAACCAAGGATTTTGATGCAAGTAACATTTCTGCTCAGTTTTGAATGCTGGGTGCTATTTCTTGCAAGATACTTTCTCTTCCAGCTGGGAATATTATAGACAGCAGAATTCAAGGAACACTGAAGAGCACAGAACGTGCGTGTGTCAGAGGGAGAGGGAAGGAAATAGAGGATTAACGGGATATTGGGACCATGAGAAATAGGCTAGGAAGCGGGAATTAATTTGACTAACAAAAGCTGTTCTCAAGAGTTCTAAAATAAGCATCACTTGCAAAGGGTACAAGCAACAGAAAGAAAAGTAGCTCATGGGACAGCAGGGAGAAGAAATAAAAGTGCACGCTAACACCTGCAGTGAGTTTTTGGCAAGCACAAGATCAGTGAGTAGCCCGTAACTGATGGAGTGGCAGTGGAGCAATGGATGGGCTTGAATGCATGATCAGATGAATTGCTTAGAGAGATTTTATACTTTCATACTTTATAGAGTCTGGGAGAAAATAAAGACCAAATTGAACCAATTACGGTATCTCCACAGGAACAATGTAACTGCATTGTATTTTTCAACTCAATGTAGAATGGGCAACGCAATAAGTATATTACAGTATTACAATTTTATTTGTTACCACTTTGTCAGGTGTAAGTGTTTTTCATGCACCGTGTGGCAAAACAAGTTATTAAGAGCCAATTATGTGCTGCAGCCCTGCCAAAGGGGAAATGACTACAATTAAAACTCTAGAAGGACTGACCATCATGCACAACGAGACTTTTGTGATAACAGTAACTTTTATCATTGTTTCTGCATGATTTTGAATTTCCTCGCACATCAACTTCCATTTAAAACTGTTTTGACTTGTAACCACACAACTTCCCAGCCGGTCGCTCTGCATGCCAAACAAAGTGATTCTGTGCTAAGTGAGGAAAGCAAACCATGTTGTTGTGAGAGCGAGGTTAAATGAGGGCCATGCCAAGCCTGGAAAGTAACCCTGGAAAGAGCCGGCACCGAGCAAGCCAGGGAGAGGAGATCTGCAGCTGTCGCTTGCCCTAGTGAATCCAAGAAGGAAGATAACATGGAGTGGCCATGCAAGGAAGAAGTAGGCACTGTCCTCCCACAAGTCTGTCCAGTTAAGATATTCACAGTGGTATTTATGCAAATCCAAAAAGCACTTCCCCAGCCCCACAGCCTGCCAAATCAGACCCCAACTGCAGACAACTGCGTAAAAAGCTGCATACCTGCTGTCCCTTTTATTCCTCTCCTCCCAACCACTTCAGTCCCTGTGAAGAAGTCTCAGTAACGTGTCTGCTATGTCTCAGCCTGACTCCTCATTCTGCTGGCTCACCCAGTTCTTGGAGCTGACGCTCTCTCCGATTATCCTCGTCAGTGCACTGCATGGCATTTCTGGGCCCTCCAGATACACAGCAGGCTAGGTAGACAGAGAAGTCCCAACGATTTGCTGGTGTTCATCATAAGAGAGACAAGATTTTCCATCCCAAGGTGGAGACATCACCATTGACATGTTTCTTGTATCTTTCAGTCCCTTTATTTTCTTGTGGTCCTATTTGCTGCTCCTGATGGCTCCTGTTGAATAGTTGCTCTGTAGCAATGTACAGCATGTAAAGGAGGTGAACAGGTCCCAGAATTCCTCTCTATGGCATACCAGATGCCATAACCTCAACCTCATGCCCACTGGTAGCATGTTTGTCAGATAGCTTCCCCTGAGACCAAAACTGGAGATACAATCACTTGTATTGCAGACAAAAAAGCAATTTTCATTGTGAAAATAGTGCACAACTGAACTCCATAATATGTATAGTTTTATATATAATAGTACAAGCTTCTGAAGAACATAACCTTGCGCAGTGGAGTGCAGAAAACAGCCCACCTAAACACCATGGAAACTCTACCTGCACCATTAGAGCTGTTGTACCCCTTGGTTTCCATACACGAGAGGCCGTGACTCTACACCAGGGGAGACAGCGTAAGTGCATGCCTTATATAAGTCTGATCCAAACGGCAGCAGTTATATCTGGGCACTCTCAGAAGCAAAAGTGTGTGGACACAAGATGTGTTACTGGCATCATAGGACAAAACACAGGACATAACAAATTTCTCTAAGGAAGACAGTTCCAAAGCCATCAACGTACTCTCAGGCAAATCAAAGCTATACTCTGCTCACTGTTGAACCCAGCGCCCAGAAGCAAGAATTGGAGAGCACAAGTCAGTGCAGATGCCAGAAGCCACGCCTCAAGACTCGTAACGCTGGCCACCAAGGAAAGCTTTGTCAGCTCTCCCATGCCTAGCTCTAGCAGCCAATGGGGCTTTCAAGTCCCAGAGGTAGCTCTCCCCAGTACACTCACTGAGTGTGCAGAGTGTTAGGCTACATCACAATGTATTTTCCCCTAGCACAGAGAACAGCATGCATAGATTCCTGGTGCCGTACCCACACAAAAAGGCAGCACAGAGAAACACACGGAGACATGCAAGCCAGCAGCATCAGCAAAGTGGGGCAGTGTTAGGGCTGCAGCATTCAGCGCTCTGTCCCATACTCCTGACAGCTACTACAGCCTAGCAATACCTAGGGCCCTCTCGTCAGCCTTGCTTTCGCACGCCTACAGAAGTAGAAATTTGTTTTGCTCATTCCAGCCCAAATTCCAAACGTGTCTCCAGCCGCAAAGCTGGGTATGTACAAGGGCATAGCTTCAGTCCCCCCAACTCCCCTCTGCTGCAATCAGTCAAACAAAAGCCGTATATGTGCCGTTTCCCCTTTGCAGCCAAACATCCATACGTGTCTCCCAGCTCCACTATCATCTCGCTGCAGCCTGCCTACAAGAAGTGCTGATGTACAGCATCTTCAGCCCTTTCGCTATCAAACAAATGCTAGGGTCTTGACAATGCTGGAGAAACAGAGATCTGTCCTATCAGCTCAGCTCAAGAATGAGCTGACAGAAAGCATTTAGCTGTCCAGTAAATTACTTAGCCGCTGCCCATTCCCTGCAAGGAAAGAGCAAATGGCTTTACTTACATTATCTGGTAGGAAATTGAGGTACAGTGAGCTTCAGTAACATGTGCAAGGCCAGCCAGTTGAGTCTGTGGCAGGGCAAAGATCAGAACCCAGGACTCCCTGCCTTTCAGACACACGCTCAAACCACCTTGCCTAAAACTTCCTTTGCTACTCAAGACAGGCCAGAGCCCCGAAGTCACATTTCTTAGTATACTAACTTGCACTTGTGACAGTGTGAATGCAAAGCACAGCTACAGGCCCTGCACATACACACCTACCTTTACAGCATTAGTTGTTTGTTCAAGCCTATCCCTGTCCTGCCATGCCAGGACACAGACAGCTCCCCTGATGCACAGAGCTCAGTTTCTCTTCTTACAGTCCCTAAGATGAAATGTGAGTAACCACCATTCCCCCACAAACTGTATCTTTTCATTATTCCCCTCCTCCCCATCTCGCTCCACAACAATCCAGCTAGGGCAAGGATCCCACAATGCTGTGTAACATAATACTCACAGTGAACTTTGTTAGGAGTGGTCTGTTTCCGACGGGACATGTTTCCCTGACCTGGGAGCACAGAGTGTTCGTTCCCTCAGCAGAGGGCTCACCTGAGAAGAGAAGAGCCTGTCACACAAACCACTGGAACCTCCTCAGCCTCTGGCCAAACACAGCTGACTGTCTCAGGGTCATTCCCCACCCTTCTGCCTACAGGGCTCCTTCCGCATCACCACAGCCATCTTCAGTGCCAGCATCCAACACGATCCACAAGCATTTCACAAGCCTCCGTGTATGGGCCGTCCCACCCAGTTCTCAAGCAAAGTTATAAGCAATCCTGTCCCCAGCATACAAAAAGCTAGGAGTGCCCCACGTCAAGAGTGGCTGCAATCTCAGTCCAAGCACCCTTCTCCCTCTGTCCACTCCCACAGCCGAGAGGGCACGAGCCTAACCAGACCTGCAGACCCTGCCCTGTCTCTGGCCCCCCACCCAGAGACAGACTGAGGGGACACAAGGCCCCACCGCACCCAGAAGGCTGGTGTCGGGCACCGGATAACCCGGCCCAGGCAGACGAGGGAGCCAGGAGGGAGCCGGCTGCCCTGCGGTCACAGCTCTAGACACGGCGGCAGCAGCTGACAGGACGGCGTGGCCAGCCCAGGGACAGGTCTCGGCCCAGACAGACGCCCCTCAGAGGGACAGACCTCACTGCCCTCGCGGGCAGGCACAGGGAGAGGGAAACAGCGGGGCTGCTGCGCCCTGCGGGCTGCCAGGACCTCCCTGGGCAGGCAGGGCCAGGGCCAGGGCCAGGGCCAGGGCCAGGCAGGTGGGGACACACGGGGCACCACCGACCCCCCACCGGACGCAGGGAGGGACGCGCCCCCTTGTCCCTCACAGGGGGGGACACACCGACCCCCCCAAGCTTCACAAGGGGGGAAACATCGAGCCCTCGTCCTCGGACGGACAGAGGAAGGAATCGGTGCCAACAGTCCCCTCAGACAGACAGACAAAAGGATCAGCTGAACCCATTCACCCCCAGACAGACGGACACAGGGATCCCGTCAGCCTCGCACTGACAGACGGACACAGGGATCCCATCAGCCTCCCACCGACAGACGGACACAGGGATCCCATCAGCCTCCCACCGACAGACGGACACAGGGATCCTGTCAGCCTCACACTGACAGATGGACACAAGGATCCTGTCAGCCTCCTCAGACAGAGGGACACGGGGATCCCACCAGCCTCACAGTGACAGACGGACACGCACCGACAGAGGGATCCGGCCGGCGGTCCCAGCACACGGGAGGCGGCAGGAGGAGGGATCCAGCCCGCAGGCGGACGGACACATAGACAAACGGACCCCGCTCGCCGGCAGAGGGACGGACGGAGGAACCCCGCCCGGGCCCCCGAGGATGCCGACGGACGACCGAGGGA